AATCAGAAGTAGACCTTTTTAGGATTTCCCTTTTTTTTTTTTTTGGAATAGATTCAAGGGAGTAGATATGGTAGGCTGAGTGCCTGTAGAACCATGGACAGAGGTTTGCAACATTGTACAGGAGGTGGTGACCAAAATCATCCTCAAGAAAAAGAATTGCAGGAAGGCAAAATGATTGTCTGAGGAAGCCTTACAAATAGCTGAGAAAAGAAGAAAAGCAAAAGGCAAAGAAGAAAGGGAAAGATATACCCAGCTGAATGCAGAGGTCCAGAGAATAGCAAGGAAAGATAAGAAAGCCTTCTTAATGAACAATGCAAAGAAACAGAGGGAAAAAATAGAATGGGAATCGCTACATGTCTCTTTAAGAAAGTTGGAGATACCAAGGGAATATTTCAAGAAAAAATAGGCACAATAAATGGCAAAAACAGTAAGGAACTAACAAAAGTAAAGGAGATTAAGAAGAGGTGGCAAGAATACATGGAAGAACTATACAAAAAGGATCTTAGTGACCCAGATAACCGTGATGGTGTGGTCACTCACCTAGAACCAGAAGTGTGAAGCTAATTGGGCCTTAGGAAACATTATTACAAACAAAACTAGTGGAAGTGATGTAATTCCAGCTGAGCTATTGCAAATCCTAAAAGATGATGCTGTCAAAATGCTTCTCTCACTATGCCAGCAAATTTGGAAAACTCATCAGTGGCCACAGGACTGAAAAAGGTCAGTTTTCATTCTATTCCCAAAGAAAAGGAATGCCAAACATCGTTCAAATTGCCATACAGTTGCATTCATTTCACATGTCAGCAAGATTACGCTCAAAATACTTCAAGCTAGGCTTCAATAGTATGTGAACCAAGAACTTCCAGATATATAAGCTGGATTTAGAAAAGGCAGAGGAACCAGAGATCAAACTGCCAACATATACTGGATCATAGAAAAAGCAAGGGATTTCCACATATGAGTGATACAATGTTCGTTTCTCTGTCCGACTTTCTTTGCATGGTGTGATCATCTCTAGGCCCATCCATGTTGCTGCAAATGGCATTATTCCATTTTTTTCCTGGCTGAGCAATACTCCATCAAACGTATTTGCAAAACAGAAATATGCTCACAGATATCAAAACAAACTTACAACTACCAAACAGGAAGTGTGCAAGGCAGAGAGAAGATCAATCAAGAGTTTGGGACTGACGCACACAGACCGCTGTGTGTAAGGGAGGTGACCGAGAAGGACCGACTGGACCTTCTGATTTACTAATCAGAAAAGAATGTGAAGAAGAATGAGAGTTTGCAAATAGTTGAGCAAAGAAGAGAAGCAAAAGGAAAGGGAGAAAGGGAAAGATACACCCCGCTTGAATGTAGAGTCTCAAGAATAGCAAGGAGAGATAAGAAGGCCTTCTTAAATGAACTATGCAAAGAAATAGAGGAAAACAGTAGAATGGGAAAGACTAGAGATCTCTTAAAGAAAATGAGATATCAAGGGAACATTTCATGCAAGGATGGGCATGATAACAGACAAAAATGGTAAGGACCTAACAGAAGCAGAGGAGATTAAGAAGCAGTGGCAAGAGTATGCAGAAGAAGTCTACAAAAACTTCTTAATGGCCCAGATAACCATGATGGTGTGGTCACTCACCTAAACCTGAACATCTAGGAGTGTGAAGTCAAGCGAGTCTTAGGAAGCATTTATACAAACAGTGCTAGTGGAGGTGATAGAATTCCAGCTGAGCTATTTTAAATTCTGAAAGATGATGCAGTTAAAGAGCTGCACTCAATATGTCAGCAAATCTGAAAAACTCAGCAGTGGCCACAGGACTGGAAAAGATCAGTTCTCATTACAATCCCCAAGAATCAATAACAAAGAATGTTTTAATGATCCTAAAACTAGTCATTTCACATGCTAGCAAGGTTATGTTCAAATTCCTTCAAACTAGGCTTCAGCAATATATGAACTGAGAACTTCCAGATATACAAGCTGGATTTTGAAAAGGCAGAAGAACTAGTAATCTAACTGGCAACATTTGTTGGATCTTGGAGAAAGCAAGGCAATTCCAGAAAAACCTCTACTTCTACTACATTGACTAAGCTAATGCCTTTGACTGTGAGCTCAACAAACTGTGGAAAATTCTTAAAGAGATAGGACAGTTACCACATTAACTTACCTGCCCCCTGAGAAACTTGCATGTGAGTTAAGAAGGACCAGCTAGAACTGAACATGAGACAACTGACTGGTTCCAAGTTGGGGAAGGAGTACAAGGCTGTATATTGTCACACTGCTTATTTAACTTCTATGTGGAGTACCTCATGCAAAATGCCAGGCTGGTTGAAGAACAAGCTAGAATCAAGATTTCTGGGATCAACAACCTCAGATATGCAGATGATACCACCCTAATGGCAGAATGTGAAGAGGAAGAAGAGAACATCTTGATGAGGGTGAAAGAGGAGAGTGAAAAAGCTGGCTTAAAGCTCAACATTCAAAAGCTAAGAATGTGGTATCTGGCCCCATCACTTCATGGCAAACAGAAAAGGGAAAAGTGGAAGCAGCAACAGATTTTATTTTCTTGGGCTCCAAAGTCACTGTGGACAGTGACTGCAGCCATGAAATTCAAAGACACCTACTCCTTAGAAGGAAAACTATGACAAACCTAGACAGCATATTAAAAAACAGAGACATCACCTTGCCAATGATGGTTCATATAGTCCAAGGTGTGGCTTTTCCAGTAGACATGTATGGATGTGAGAGTTGGATCATAAAGAAGGTTGAGTGCTGAAGAATTGATGGTTTCAAATTGTGGTGCTGGAGAAGACTCTTGAAAGTCCCTTGAACTTCAAGAAAGTCAAACCAGTGAATCCCAGAGGAAATCAACCCAGAATATTCATTGAAAGGACTGATGCTGAANAAGCATTTGCAAGTGGAGTGTAAGTAGTCATTCTAAAAGTTGACTGGTCGCCAAGGCTAAAGCTAAAACAAGTAGATGCTACAATTTTAAGTTAATAAAGAATGCAATGTGGTAAACACTTTCCCATCCAACATATACAGTGATTTATAAAGGTCACTGGCTACATTCCTCAAGCACATTCTTTTGAAAACAGGTTCAAGGTCAGCACATGTTGGTTACAACCCAAGACAAGGTGAAAAGCAAACAGTTCTCTCAAGTTCAAGCAGTTTCTGCGTTACAGGAAGAATTTTTTTGTTTTTACTTCAGTTTCTTTTTAAGATTTTTTTTTAATGTGGACCATTTTTTTTTTAAGTCTTTATTTAATTTGCTACAACGCTGTTTCTGTTTTGTTTTGGGTGTTTTGACCCCGGCATGTGGAATCTTAGCTCCTCCACCAGGGATCGAACCAGCACCCCTATACTGGAAGGTGAACCCTTAACCACTGGACCACCAGAGAAGTCCCTGTTTATTTTTACTTTACATGGTAAGAAGAAACAATGCTTCAAAGCTTTCAATTGATTTAGGTCAACCATGGTAGAAAAGGTAGAAATCTGCTTCCTTTGACAAGAATGTAGAGATACATAAAGCAGATAAACAGCAACATTTAGTGCCATGGGTCCTGGTATTGCTCTTTGTATCTTTAATTTTTTTTTTTTTTTTTTTTTGGCCATTAGACATGTGGAATCATAGTTCCTGGACCAGAGATCAAATTCATACTCTCCTGCATTGCAAGGCGAAGTCTTAATCAGTGGATCATGAGGGAAGACCCCGTGACCCAGTTTTAAATGACAACATGACAACAATAATAATACATGGACAAGCGTTCCCCTTGTGAGTTTGATATCAGTAGGAACAATCTTGGCTTGAGTGACTCAGATCTGACAAATAGTGCCTCTCACAGGGGAGAGAGGTCCGGTGTCGGAGGCAAACTCTTGGTTCCATTTGGGGCTGAAGATCTCTTGGGCTCCTGCTCCATCACCCCAAGTGCATGGTGACTTTGTCACTAAAGTTGATGCCACAGAGCCCCACCACAGTATTAACCTTTCTGGTATGAATAAGAGAAATAGTATTTGTATTCTTATTATATATTTACAGAAAAAAATCATCACAGCATACCCACTCATGGAATCCCCTACCATTCATATTAAAAACCTAAATGCCACTGTCATTTTTGTTCACTCCCAAGTTTTGTCCCCCAAAGTTAAGCATTATCAAAACTCTATAAGTCAATGCTATTCATTCTAAATAGAGCTTCACTAGTACAGTCATTTCGAGAATTTCCTAGATAAGTGCATAAATAAAAAACAACTTTACATGATACAGTTGCTCACCAAGAAAAGTGAAAGGACAGAATGATTTACAGCAAAAACAATTCACACTCCTGTTCTTTTCGCAGCTATGAATGTAGACAATCCAGATCAACAGAGGCTTGGTGAAGAAATTAGAACAGAAAGGAAGGATTGGCATGGATAACATCTCTCTGCTGATTTTTAGCCAATACTGTAGTCACTGGAATACCTCATAGACTCCTTTAGTCCCTTGGAAGCAGAACAGCTTAAAGGGAAGGCTTTTAGCTTTAGAGCTGATTACAGTAGTTGGATGACACAAGTGAAGAAAGATGAAAGGAAAGGAGCCTCCACTATATAAAATTAATGTAAAATTTAATGATGTTGAGAAAAAAAAACTGTACCTTTCTGCTCAGGAACACACTTCAAGATACAGACTTTAGGGAGGACAAAAATGTCCATTGCATAATACACATTACTGAAAAAATAAAATAGAAAGGAAGTAATCTAAACATCTCTCTAAAGAAGATTCTACAAGTAAAGTGTGATGTGTGATCATGTTTAAAACAACTGAAATAAGTGAACTAGAATATGGAAGAATTGGAAAAGGGGGTCAAGATCTCTGCAGAGTACGTTCTGACATAGAGCTGGAGAGGTGACATAGCCCTGAGATAGGAGAGTGAAGGTGTATTGCTGACCTTGCCCGGTGAAAGCACACTGCCTCACTGCTCTCCTGTGTCAGCGACCAGGGCTGCCAGAACTAACACACGGTCAGTGACTTTCACAACAGGAATTTACTCTCTTGCAGGTCTAGTGGATAGATGTCCAAAATCAAATTGTCTCCAGGGCCTGCTGCCCTTGGAAGCTTGAGACAGACATTCTTCCATGACTTTTCCTGGCTTCTGGAGCCTCTGGTATCCTTGGCACTCCAACATCTGCGCAGCTTTCACTTGTCCTTCTTCCTTGTGTCTTGTTCCTCTGTTCCATCTCCTCTTCTCAGAAGAACACCTGTCAGTGGATTTAGGGCCCACCTGATCAACCCATTGTGACTTCATGCTAACTGATTCATTTGGAAAGGTCTTATTTCCAAGTAAGGTCACAGTTGGCATTTTCGGGCAGACATTTATTGGGGTGAGGGGGACACCATGGGGCCTACTAGAATTCTGTACTGTGTGCTCGAGGTACTTTGCCCTGCAGTTGCTGAATGTATTGTTCTGTCTATGTCAAGCAGAGTCAATTTGGTTGATATGTAGAATCAACTGTAACATGACTACAGTTTTTCTCTTGCATTATTATTGAGAGAGATATGGTAAAATATTACCTATAATTTGGATATGTGTGTGTGCTAATCACTCAGTCACGTGTGACTCTTTGCAACCCCATGGAATGTGCAAAGCAGGCTCCTCTGCCATGGAATACAGGAGTGGGCAAGAATACTGGAGTGGGTTGCCATTCTACTTATTTTTAATTCTGTCAGTTTTTACTTCATATAGTTAAGTCTCTATTTGTTGTACACAAATTTATATTTTCCTATCATCCAGGTGGATAAAACATTTTCATTATGACATGTCCCTTTACAAATAAGCTTTTTCCCAGAAGTCTAGTTTGTCAAACAATTATTAAGGCACATGAGCCTTGTTTATCTTAGAATGTATATGATACAATTTTCTCCAGCATTTCCATTTCAAATTTTCTGTATTAAATTAAACATTAAACATATATTATCTTTATACTTTGGTTTTGGCTTTCCAACTGGGATTATAATATTTTGTTTTAATGGATGTATTATATTTAAGCTATATTCAGTGAGTGTGGGGCTGCCTTGAAGAGAATCCAAATAGCCAATAACAGGACAATTTTAGCATAAAAAAGGGTCATAATGGTAATAGGTGTCACAGAAAGGGCTGTGCTGTTGCCCTGGGCACAGACTCCCCACCTGTCACTTTTCCTCGCAGCAACAGATGAGGATGGAGCAGAGGAGAGAAAGGGCTGTGGGCCGGGAGGGCCCACCTGCCGCCCAGGGAGATCTTTCCGAGGACAGTCAGGGTCTGTATAAGTCGTCTGCATTTCTCTACTGTGTGCCCCACCCACACGCACGGATCCCTAATGGACTTCAGGCTGTGTGCCTCCCCTGTACTGGACTGAGACGCATCAAAGGATGAATGGCCACAGGACTGCAGCTCCTGGGACCCAGGGGGTTATGGGTCCCAGGGCACTCAGAAGCCCAGGTCTCGCCTAATTGGCCATTCGGGGCCTCAAGTCCCAGACCTGCAAACAGAGAGCATCTTCCCAGCAGAGTGACCCTCGGGTGCAGGAACCTACATGTTGCCCACATGACGGATAATGTGGAGAGTCAGGTGACTGAGTCCATCTCCTGCTGTGCTTCCATCAAGACCCAGGAGTTCCTGCAGCCAGAGCCTGCTGCCCTCCGCTGTCCCGTCCTCACTCACGTCCCTGCACAGGAGGCCAGAGGTGGACGAGGGAGGGGGTGCTCAGTGCCACGCCATTATCCTCAGCACAGACCTGGGTCAGGAGTCCTGTCCTCCCTGGGAGCACAGGGTCCTAGGTGAGCCATGCCCCTCCTGACATCACAGGAGCACTGCGCTCATCACTCAGCAGGGCGTGGTCAGCATCACTGACAGGTGAGTCCTGGGAGCCTGGATCCTGGACAACAAGGTCCCCTACTCCCCACTGCTCTGGGCAGGGTCAGTTAGGGCAGCAGGTCTGAACTTTATCAGAGTAGAAATAAATACCTCGTACAAAGGTGGATTTTAAGTCAATGGCCTGAGATCCTGAACCTGACAAGCATCAGGCAATGCTGGTGCTGCCAGGAGCTCAGATCATGCTTGACTGATGAGAGTTTGCAAGGAAAGGATTCAGGACACAGTCACTGCAAATATTCAGTAGATCCTCAAAAGGAGCGCTGGGTTTCTCTGCTTCACCCTGGAAGGTGTTTGTCAGACTCAACTCAGAGGCAGGTTTACTGAAGCTGCTGCAGTAGCCCCCCCTTGGTCATTTCAATAAGCCAGAAGAACGTGTTTGTTCAGTTTTTCAAAACCAGTTTTGGAGCTTAGTTTCCCAGGTGAAAATGCCAAGTACTCTTGACGTGCTCCCCAGGCATGCTAGGGGTCACCGCTGTGATGACTCGAGGCCCCTGAGGTGGATGAATTGTCTCAGGAAACAGCCAAATAAATAAAGCCGGGAACCCCCAGGGATATAAGAGCAAGGTCACCAAACCTGAGGATAGTGGGTGAAAGTGGTCACTCCGGTCACTTTGAGATTGCTATGAGGTGAGGACCTGGGTGGACAGACTGGGTGTGTGTGTGTGTGTGTGTGTGTGTGTGCAGGACAGGGCTCGGTGCGTAGGACTTGTGGCCAACACATGTAGGGCAGCACCTGCCCACCATCAGTGCCCGTGTCCAACTTCAAGTTTGAGTGGACCCTGCCTGCGCGTCTCAGATAGACTGCCCCCCTCTGCTGTCATGAGAGGACTGGACTTAAGTCCCCCAGGAGAGGACAGCCGGACCACGAACCCTTGTACCTGCACACTTTTTGTTGCAATGTATGGGCTCTCATAGACCATCTTCCAAGAGAAGTCAAGCTGAGGGAACATGGGAGTCACCACTCCTCCACAGGCACCACCAACCACCCAGCCTCTTACTGCACACCCCCAGTGCACAGAGCTCACTCCCTGCAAAGGCAGCCAGCTCTGTCACGCTGCAGACCCTCCCTCTAGGAACTGTGGAGTTTGTTCTGACATAACCTTACATCCTCTCCCTAATCCTCCTCACTGCCCGAGAGGCACTGTGGTGCTGTGCCCGCCTTCCTTCCCACTCCTCCCTCCTTAGGTTGCATCTCCCAACCATTCCTCTGGCCATCACACAGTGGGTCCCCATGTCCCACGGGAGTGTGGTGGTCAGCCCTGCCCAGGGCAGACAAGGGAGGTCTGGGCCGTGACAGGGACAGGGAGCAGCACCCAGCAGGAGGACCCAGACGCTGAGCAGGTGTGACCATGTTGGAGGCTCCCATTGCTTCAAGCAGAGGGAGCCAGGGGTGTAGAAGTAAGGACAGGAGGACATCCCCACATCCCGAATTGCCACAGCCCCTGTTCTGCTCCTTCTAAGGCCACAAAGCCTGGCTGTCCCCTCCCCATTAATGGTCCATTACCTGTACATTGCAAGAAAAAACCCTTACATTCTCAAGGATGCAAACAGCTCTGTTGATGTTTGCCATCGTGGTCCTATCCTAGAGACAAAGGTGCCAAGATAGATCTCAGGGTATGCAGGAAAGATAGACATAGCACCCCAGTAGTCTGGTGTCCCCTCCTCATATTTTTCAACATCAGGACATTGGTTTGAGGCCTCCTGAGATCCTCAAGGATGCACAGTGCTCAGCAGACAGAATGAAGCTGTGGTCCAGGTTCACACATTGGTGTTACATGGGGCTCAGGGTCTGCAGGACAGACTGATAGAAATTTTCCTGGTCGGTGCTAGTTCTTGCTCTGGCCTGGAGATACAGTCATCAACAACACGCCAGCAGGCTGACATGAGGTGTTCAATAAATATTTATAAGATTAGTGAATGAATTAATGAGACAGGAAAGTGCAGGATTAGATACTTGAGTGAGGAGTGGAAATTACACGGCTCAGGAACATCTCTATGGGGATGGAAAGCATTTACTGAGAAGAGACAGAGGAGATTGCAACACTCCTCACACTTTAGGTTTTCAGTCTGCAAAGCTCCTGGCGGCCACTACACACCCCATAACAGCAGGTCAGAGTCATGCAGAGAGAGAGTGAACTTGCATATCTAAGCATTAATGAATCAGAGGAAATGTTCCCTTTTCAGGCCAGTCTGTGCTCATCTGGGAGCAGAACTGGGCAGCTGGTGGTCTCTTGGTCGGTGGGCAGTGAGATGCTGCAAAGTCCTTGATCTCCAAGGGAGGACGATCATGTGACATTGATCTGCTCCCTCTCCCTGTATCCCGCCTGCTCTCTGCTCTCTGCCGCGTGTCATGGTCAGGGCCATGCCACCCCACAGAAATGGAAACCTCTCAGAGATGCCTCTGCAGGAGTTCGTGCTGGATGGATTTGAGGGAGGTCCGCAGACCCAGGCCCTGCTCTTTGCCCTGTTCCTGGCACTGTATGTGGTGGACGTCCTGGGGAACCTCACCATGATCGTGCTCATCACCCTGGATGCCCGTCTGCACTCCCCAATGTACTTCTTCCTCAAGAACCTCTCCTTCCTAGATTTGTGCTACTCATCTGTCATCTACCCCAAGGCCCTGTTTGACTTAATGTCATCAACCAAGGTCATCACCTTAGGGGGATGTGCCACCCAGTTCTTCTTCTTCTCCCTGCTCATCACCACTGAGGGATTCCTCCTGGCAGTGATGGCCTATGACCGCTTTGTGGCCATCTGCAGCCCCCTGCGCTACCCCATCTCCATGCGCCCCTCGGTCTGTGCCCGCCTGGTGCTGGGCTGCTACTGCGGGGGCTGCCTCAACTCCATCCTGCAGACCAGCTTCACATTCAGCCTCCCGTTCTGCAGCTCCAACCACATCGACCACTTCCTCTGTGATGTCCCTCCATTGCTCAAACTCGCCTGTGCTGACACTACCATCAATGAGCTGGTCATGTTTGGCATCTGTGGCCTCATCATCGTGGGCACCACACTCGTGGTCCTCATCTCCTACGGCTACATCACAGGGACCATCCTGAGGATGCGCTCAGGAGGAGGGAGACACAAGCTCTTCTCCACCTGCGGCTCCCACATGACAGCCGTGTCCCTCTTTTACGGGACCCTTTTTGTCATGTATGCCCAGCCGGGAGCTGTGGAGTCCATGGAGCAGGGCAAGGTGGTCTCTGTCTTCTACACCCTGGTCATCCCAATGCTCAACCCCCTCATCTACAGTCTGAGAAACAAGGATGTGCAGGATGCCCTGTGGAGACTGGGGCAGAAACACACAGCCACGTGAAGGAGGGTGACTGGAGAGGCTGGTTGTTCCGAGACGGGACAAGAGGGCTCTGGGAGAAGTACAGGCTTTGGTTTGAGGAATTCATTCCTCATTCATCTGATTCGTTTTTTTCATCCAAACTTTCATTCAACCCTTCGTAGGAGCACATCATGGAGCATACATTGCAAGTATGAGATGCGATAATGAACAAATCTCTTTTGCCAGCAGAAAAGTAAGTGCAAAGATGGAGCAAGGCCATAATCTGAATCTCTGGGTAACACGGTGGGCGTCATCATGAACAGAGAATCTTTGAACAGTCTGTATGTCCCAAGTTCAACATCCTCCAGTGAAAATACATGGACTAGAGAGATTCTGAGGCCTCTCCCTTCAAGTTATTGCTGAACCTAATGTAAGTAAGTGTTCAGCTACCTCCCCTGGACCACCTAGCAGGGGGGCCTTAGGACACTCAGCCTTGGTGATAGCCTGGGCATCCCCACAGCCGATTAGGGGAGTTAGGAAGACCACGCTTCCCCTCAATCCTGCAGTGGGGGTGTTCCTCCCTCCCCCTTCTGTTCACTGATGCTGCCACCCAGCAAGGCAGCAGGGAGCACCTGCTCCTGCTTCAGAGGCTCCCAGTGCTCCCTGTCCTGGGTTCTCCCCCAAGACAGCAGCTGGGAGCCCAAGGGAGTCAGCGTGGGTGCCTGACACCCAAAGTTCACCATCCAACCTGACAGGTGACAGTGTCCTGACTACTTGTGACCCTAAGAAATGGGGCCTTGTCAGCACAGACATCTCGGAATAAAGATGGAGGGTCTGGTGCTGCTGCAGAGAGCAGGGGTGGGGAGGGAAGGGGCACTTTCTTGGTGGCGAGCACAGCTCCCCGCTCTCTGTCCCAGACTCCCTGGGAACCTGGACCCTCAGGCTTAACCTGCCCATTCAGAGCTCCATCCTCAGGACCCAACACATGGCCTGGATTCAGAGCCCAGTGGCCTCCTTAACTGGTCTCCCTTTGGTAGAGTCATCCCACGGCCACTCCTAGGAAGCTGTCCTCTGGAAGAAGGGTGGTCTGTATCCTGTAGGGGCAGGGGGATGTGCCCTGGGTCTCTCTCTGATCACAGCTCCCAATGTGCTTGTTTCTTTGCTCAGGAGACATGAGGAGGGGCTAAGAGCCCAGTGAGCATATTGCTGCTCACAATAGCCAACTGAAACACACTCCAAGGTCTTTGCTCATTTGTTCCTGTTCCTTCTCATTTCTAGACTTTCTGTAAAATCATCTCTATCTCTGCCAGTTTACCATATTCACTTGATGTAACATGTGTTTCTTTGAGGACTTCCCCAGTTTTCAGCTATTAGGGACACTCCTTTTCTTCTCAAGCTGTAAGAGTGTTGTTTCCCATGCCCCCTTCTTCCTCTCTTTCTGTGTTCTGTTTCCTCCTGACCTCTTCCTCCTTTCTCTGCTTTTCCTTCTTTCTTTCATTCCTTCTCCATCCCCTCCCCAACCACCTCTCTTTCCCTCCACTTACCCTCCTTCTTTTCTCCCACTTTCCCCACTCCTGGCTCTCTCTTCCTCTATCCCTTGTTGTATTTTCTCAGTTTATTTTTAGTCATTAATCCACCTGCAATGCAGGAGACCTGGGTTTGATCCCTGTGTTGGAAAGATTCCCTGGAGAAGGGAAAGGTTTCCCATTCCAGTATTCTGGCCTGGGGAATTCCATGGACTGTATAGTCCATGAAATCACAAAGAGTCTGACACAACTGAGCGACTTTCACTTTCACATGTCTTTTCACAAGACAAAACTTGGGTTGTCTACTATTTCAATTTACATTTCTAAAGGAAATGGAAAAACACAATCTTTGTTTTCCTATACAAGTGGAGATTTATCATCATTATTTGATACTTAATGGTACAAAAGAAATCAGTAGTTCTTAGTAGAAAAACATTAATTATGACTTTGGAATAAGTTGTGAAAGCTGATCCAATATTGCGTGGAATAGAAATTCTCCAAAATCTGGAAGAAAATTATTTTAAGACCCTACAGATTATCTTTATGTCTACGTTAACCTATATATCAGACTATAGTGAAGATAGCTGCATAATGCTAAATATGGTTTGTTCAACCCATTCTATACTTTGCAGGTTGCTGCAACATAATTCATTCTCATTTCATATCTACTGGCTGATTACAACTTGAGTTTGCTGTTAACTCATCATTGAACTCCAAAATATAATTGGCATAACTCTGGTTATATTAATGCAATAGGTGTAGAATAAACACTTTACATTCACGATCATATTACATTTTTAATTCTGATTCTGCATTAACTTTTAACAAAGCTTAACAACTTTTATTGTGTTTGTGTCTAAAAGTAATCTATTTGTTGTGGCTAATTTAAAGTGTACAGTTTAGCCAGTCTATCAGTCAGTCAATTCAGTCACTTAGTCCCGTCCAACTCTTCATGACACCATGGACTGTAGTACACCAGTCTTCCCTGTCCATCATCAACTCCTGGAGAGTGCTCAAACTCATGTCCATCAAGTTGGTGATGCCATCCAACCATCTCATCCTCTGCCATCCCCTTCTCCTCCTGCCTTCAATCTTTCCTAGCATCAGGGTAAAGTCTCTCACTGTTCCCACTATTTCTCCATCTATTTGCCATGAAGTGATGGGACCAGATGCCATAATCTTCATTTTCTGAATGCTGAGCTTTAAGTCAACTTTTTCAGTCCTCTCTTTAACTTTCATCAAGAGGCTCTTTAGTTCTTCTTCACTTTCTGCCATAAAAGTGTTGTCATTTGCATATCTGAGGTTATTGATATTTCTCCTGGTAATCTCAACTCCAGCTTGTGCTTCATCCAGTCCAGCATTTCACATGATGTACTCTGCATATAAGTTAAATAAGCAGGGTTCCAATATACAGCCTGGATGTACTCCTTTCCCTATTTGGAACCAATCTGTTGGTCCATGTCCAGTTCTAACTGTAGCTTCTTTTACTGCACACAGGTTTCTCATGAGGCAGGTAAGGTGTTCTGGTATTCCCAACTTCTGAAGAATTTTCCACAGTTTGTTGTGATACACACAGTCAAAGGCTTTTAGCATAGTCAATGCAGCAGAAGTAGATGTTTTTATGGAATTCTCTTGCTTCTTCTATGATCCAATGGATCATAGAATTGGAAATATGATCTCTCGTTCCTCTGCCTTTTCTAGATCCAGCTTGAATATCTGGAAGTTCTTGGTTCATGTACAGTTGAAGCCTAGCTTGGAGAATTTTAGTAGCTCAGACAATAAAGAACCTGCCTGCAATGCAGGTGACCCTGGTTTGATCTCTGAGTCAGAAAAATCCCCCGGAGAAGCAATGGCTACCCAGTCCAGTAGTCTTGCCCGGAGAATCCCAAGGATAGGGGAGTCTGGTGGGCTATAGTCCATGGGGTCAAATAGAGTCAGACACGACAGAGTGACTAACACTTTTCCCTGCCTTTTCTAAATCCAACTTGAACAACTGGAAGTTCTTGGTTCATGTACTGTTGAAGCCTAGCTTGGAGAATTTTGAGCACTATTTTCCTAGTATGTGAAATGAATGCAATTGTACGGTAGTTTGAACATTCTTTGGCATTCCCTTACTTTGGGATTGGAATGAAAACCTTGCTGTGTAACAGATCTCCAGAACTTTTTCATCTTGCAAAACTGAGCTTGCATACCCCTTCAGCAAAGACTCCCTATTTCCCCCTTACCTCCAGTACTAGAAGTCAGCATTTTACTTTCTGTTTTTTATGAATGTGACTACTTTAGATACCTCATGTAAGTAAAACATAGAATATTTGTCTTTTTGTGTCTAGTTATGAGACTTAGCATAATGTCTTCAAGGTTCATACATGTTGCAGTAAATGAATGGATTTACATATTTTTAAAAGCTGAATAATATTCCATCATATGTTTATGCCACATTTTGTTTATTTATTCATCCACCAATGAACACCTTGGTTGTGTCCACCTTTTGCCTATTGTGAAAAATGCTGCTATGTACATGGATGCACAAATATCTCTGATAGTCACCTTTTCTTATTTGGGGGAAATATATACACAACCATGTGACTACTGAATCATAGAGTAAATATGTTTTAAGTTGGAGGGAACTGCCAAAGAACTTTACATAGTGGCTATACCATTTTACATTCCCATCAATAGTGCAAAATGTTCCAATTTCTCGACTTCCTAGCCAACCTAAGTTCTATATTTCTTTCTTTCTGAATACCCATTCTAATACTTGTGAAATATTATCTTGTTGTTCATTTCACTAATGATTATTGGTGTTAAGCATCTTTTTATACTTTGTTGGAAATATATAGTTCATCTTTTCAAATTTTCTATTGGGTTATTGGTCTTTTTAATTGTAGAAAAACATTTTATATTCTGATATTAACCCTTATCAGATATAAGATTTGGAAACATTATCTCCCATCTCATAGGGTTTTTTTCCCACAGTGTTTCTTAAGGTTTTTTTTTTAGTACACTGGTTTCTTATCTTCATTTTGTCTATTTTTTCTACTTTTATTTTTGTTTTTGGTGCTTTGGGGGTCATTTTCATAATATTAAACCAACAAGAAGAGTCAACACTTGTATATGCACACCAAATATAGGAGCACCAAAAATGAAACATATACTAAGAAACATGAAGGGAATAATTAAAAGTAATACAATAACAGTAGGGGATTTAACCACTGAATTCATTCAATGGACAGATTACACAGACAGAAAATCAATATGGAAATACTGTCTTAAATGACACTTTGGACATATGGATTTAGTTGAAATATACAGAATATTTTATTCAAAAACAGAAGAATACATCTTTTTGTCAAGTGCATGTGGAATGTTTTTCCAGGATAGATCACATACAAGGCCACTAAACAATTCTCATTAACTTTAAGATAATTGAAATTATATCAAGAATTTTTTCTCACCACAGAAGCTTGAACAGAAATAGACTACAACAAAAAAAACTACAAAAACCAAAAGCACATGAACTTAAACAATATGCTCCTAAAAAGCAAATGAGTGACTAAATTAATCAAAGGGGAAATTTTTTAAAAATATGGAATCAAATGAAAAAGAAGACAAAACTATTCAAAATCTATGCGATGCAACAAATGGAGTTCTATGGGAGA